TGTGGTCACACTGTGAACCCCCTTCTTTGTCTAAACAGTAAAGAAGCTACTTTCCCCCCTTTTCTTTTTCAAAGCTTCTGTTCTCCAGTGTTAATGCTGACAATTAAGAAACTGAAATAGAGATTTTGTATACCTTGGTTCAATCATCAATCCAAATGGAGATGGCAGTCAAGAAATTAGAAGATGACTGAGAAAAGGAATTACAAAAGATAATCACCTGTAAGGATGTGTCGCTGGAGGCCAAGACCAACATCATCCATACTTTTACCTTTCTGATCACCAGGTATAGGTGTGAAAGCTGGACAGTTAAGAAAGGTGACAGGGAAAAATGGTTTCGTTTGAAATGTGGTGCTGGAGAACAGCTTTGCAGATATCCTGGACTGCTAGAAAGACAAACAAGTGGGTCCTAGATAAAAAAATCAAGCCTGAATTATTTTTGGACGTAAAAATGATGAGATGGAGGCTACCCTATTTTGGGCACATCATGAGAAGCCAGGGTTCTCTGGAAAAGACAATAATGCTGGGAGTGGTGGAAGACAGCAAGAAAAGAGGAAGACCCTAACGGAAGCCACAGGCTTGAGTCTATAGAAACTGAGCATGGCTGTTGAGGACAGGAGATGTTAGAGGTTGCTCATTCACAAGGCCACCATGAGTTGGAAGTGACGTGATGGCCCATAACAACAAATTCTCTTCCTAAAAGTGAACATTTTTATCTTCTGAAGAACTTCCAAACAACGTATTTTTAATATATATACATATATATGCTTAATTTACCAATATAATTGTTTTAATAGCACTCCCAGAACTTTGATACTTTTGTATTTTTATATTTTGTATCTCCTCCTCTGCAAACTTATTTTAAAGTTTCTTTGTGTCTCTTGGGAGGCAGAAAGGGTTTTTTTTGGGGGGGGGAGGTTGTTGGGTTTTTTTTTTTTAGTCTCTTGGGGAAGAGGTTTTCTTCTATAAACTTGGTTAAGTACCCAACAGCTGGTACCTTGCAAATAGAGCCTGCAGGGCACTCTACATTCAGTGTGTTTTTTACTGTAACCTTTTAATCCCTAAAACTAATGGGTTATAGGTGTTAGGCACTACTTCATTTGTTCCCTCTGCCCCACCCCTTAGTGTACATACATACATAGGCATCCTTCAGTCTCGAGAGACTATGGTAACATGCTCTGAATCGAGGAGTGTCCTCTCCAGAGCATGAAGCCCGGGTAAGGTAATATGGAGGATAGGCTGTTACCCAAGCAGCAGATCCCCCCTCTCCACATTGCTGAAATGGTCCAATGGAAAGGCAAGAGCCAATACAACTGGTTCCAGCAATGTCGCAGGAGTACTATCATTTTTATATACAACTATAGGTTGAAAGAAAGAGAGAAGGAGAAGGAAAACTCCGATTTCAAACCTCCACTGCCTTGTGGCTATATCCACTCATGGAAAAGGCTTCAGGAGTTAACCTCGAGGCAAAATCCGGAGCTGGAGTCCCGAAGGCAGCATGTGTCGTTTTGCCAACTCCCTTAGTGTGCTGCCACAGAAAAGAGCTGATTTTTTTTTAGTAAATACCACCTTTTTCCTGTATGCTTGTATGAGGAACCAAGGCAAAGACCAGTCATGAAAAGGTGCCTGACTGGAGGCTGACTGACCCTGATGCTCTCCAGGAGAACCTAATCAAATGGTGGCAACCAGTGGGCCAGATCATCCAACGGCAAGCAAAATTGTTGATGTTATCAGCCAACATGCACCAGTGGTGTGAGAATCAACTCCTTTGAAGAACCAATGCAGTCCTTGAATCCAAACACTTATGGGTATAACACTAAGAGATAAATCATGCCCTGGCCATGAAATCCCCCACAGCTATACCTCAAGTATAGAGAAAGCAGTATAATCCATTCCTTTTAAGGATCTAACTATGAGACAGAAGTCCACGCTCACTGATAACCTCAGTGAGTTAGTGCACTTTAGTTATGACTTCTAACCAAAGGCACTCATATTGAATAGAACTATTCAAAGAGACAATTCCTAACTGGACAAGAAGCAGAGGTTTTATTGGCATCCTTTGATCAAGTTGAAATGATAAGCAGTTTGAAGTCTGATGCTCAAGTCTGAACTTAAAAAAAAGAAAAGTCTTCATTAGGCAGATTTAGGCACCAAAATCCCCCAACAGATTATTATGACTACTTCTGATAAACTGCAAGAGGCATCTGCCTCTTCAAGGCAAAAGCAGTTAGGCTCACAGATGGAAAGGAAGATGGCAGGGAATTAGAAGAACTAATAAACAATGGCAGGGATGGGTGCTAAGACAGAGGCTGACATCCTAATAGAGTGACACCCTCTAGGGTAGGCTCACTATACATTAACATCATTAAAAATGGCTAGACAGTCAGCCTATAAAGCCTGATGCTATCTTGCCAGTCTGCAGTCCAATGGCTGGGAGGAAGGGTAGGGAAGAAATAATTCCAAGATACTTTGACCTAGGTCACACCTGTCCACCATCTGAAAACAAAGTAATTTTTCCCTTTTCTTCAGAACTACTGTTTTTACTGAAACAGTTTGTGTCTCTCATTCCTCTATGAGAACAGCCATGCTACACAATAGGACTTTTATCCCTCTGCATGACAAGAACATGGACTTACTGTCTATTAGCCACTGGTATGACTGTCTGCAACACATGTCTGCAAGTTCAGCTATGCTTGTGTAGACAGGAGTCCATATGATCAGGAACCTTCAAGGTTTTTAATTAATAATGCTCATAAGCTAAAATTTAAAGCCACATTGCGTTACTTGCTGATTATTTTATAACCACAACTGGGCTCCCATTGTATTGCACAAGGTACAAATGATGCCTGTCTACTTTCTGCTTGAAAAATCATGTGTGTTCCAGTCTTAATATCCAGAAAACACAAGGTGGAATAAGATAAATAATACAAACTGTATTATGGATTATTTCTCAACCCCAATGAATTCTAACATTATCCCATGGAACAATCTGTGATTTTCCCTCAGCTGGGCCAAACACCACTCCTGCTTTGCTGTGTCACGGTTTGTGAAGAAAACTTAACTTGCGACATTTGTCCCAAATATTACATTAGCTGCGATACAAAAATAAAAACAAACAAAAATTTGTCAATAACAAACCCAAACAGATTTCTTATGGGGTTGTCCTGGCTGGTGTTTCATCCATATGAAAACAATATCACAAGCAGCTGAAATCTGAGGACACTATTTACACTTATGAAGTGCTAGTGTCACAGAATGCCCACACTGTAGGCCCACTTGCTGTCTGAATTCTGCAGCAACATGTGATTCTGGGGACTAAAATGTCTTTTCCTACTGCATGGCGGGTAAGTAAAGATCATGGATGAATGTTATATATGTGTATTTCTACAAGCTAATAGTACAGCGACTTTCTGTGCCATATAAATAGCTCTAAATATGTGAAGACAGGTGATCTGTATCCAGAAACTCTGTTCTTATGAATCCCAATTATGTTTTAAGTCTCCCTCCCGAGAATCTGTGTTTGTGTGAAACCTATCTTAAGCGAACAGGTTTGTCTGGAGTCTCTAATCTTTGATAAAAGAATGTCAGCACTGTGCTAATTACCTATAATTACTTCGCTGCTATGTAGCTGGTCAGGTAGCTCCAGGCTGGGCAAACTGCAATACACTGAGTGCACTACTTCCATTACTAGATATTCATATGCACGTGTGAGTAAAAGGCTACACAATGCATGAACATACAATATTTCACTTCACTTAATCAAGATTAAACGGTCACCTTGTACTTGCAAACCATTAGTGAGAGGCCGGAATTCCACTGGAACCACAGAGGGAAAAGAATTTCAGTTTTAATACTGGAGGCTCACAAAGATTCTGTGTAGGGAAAATTGGTTAGCATGAGTAAGTTTAGACACATTTGCTATTCTGTCTCCTTGCTTCGGGATGGAGGACAAGAAGCTCATAAAAAAACCATTGTTTAAGAGCCTGAGCCACATTAGTATATAGTTACATTAACAATGAATCACAAATGGTTCCTTTTTGAAGCTCTTCAAAGCTCACATAAAACTAGAAGATAATCAATAAAATCTGCAACATTCTCTTACAAGCACAACCTGACAAACATCAGTTGAAACGCCTATGGGGCTTATAATAGGACCTTTGCACGTTGTAAATGACAGATCGTTAGCTAACACAGAGTTGGAAGGACCAAAATTTGTGTGTGGTTTTTTTTCTGCCCATAAAAAGCAATCTTACTTGGGGTGGAACAAGTTTGCATAGCAACATAAAAATAGCTTGTGGCTGCTTCCCCCCATCTTTCTATAGATCATCAGGGAAACCTGACAGAAAGCAGTTCCCACCCACCTTCTATGAAGTTCTAATATCCTGTCTTTCTTCCTTGTGAGCAGATTAACCCCCCCCCCCAATTTATCAAGGAAGGAGGCTGATAGAGACACCGTATTGTTTTCGAAGAAAGGTTCCCTTTCTTCCACAGTGACAGCTATGCTCGCGTATAAGACGAGGGGAGGGGGAAGGAACATGGCAGACATACAAGAAAGGAGGGGAGGTCTTCCCGCCGTGTGTGTGTGTCTGTGCGCGCGCGTGCATCCCTGTGCCGGTGCATTGTCTCCCTTATGGGTAGGTGTGTCATTTCCCTCGTGAAAGCGCCTTTCCCCGGCTTGCTGACGGCGCCAGACCACCAGGGGAATCCTGCCACATCCCGGCCGAGGAAAGGCGGCGGCGGCGGGGCGCGGACGGGTTCCCCCTCGGTACGAGTCCAGCGTCCGGCTTCCTCGCCGCGCGGCCCACCAGGGGTCACCGCGAAGCCCGCCGGAGTGGGGTCGTGTGAAGGCAACGAAGACACTCGCTGCCCGTGCCGGGTCAGAACGCCTCCGGAGCCAGCCGAGGTTTCCCCTTCCCCTCCGCCCGCCAGGAAAACCGGCGCTTGCTGTCACGCATCCACAGGCTTCGGCCGGGAAAGGAAGCGAGAAAGACTCGGCCCCTCACCTCCTGGTGCTGCTCCTCCTCCTCCTCCTCGTCCACCACCTCCGCGGGTGTCAGCGCCTGCTGCTGCCGCTGCTGCCGCCGGTGTCGCCGGGCTCCCGCTCTCCCGTCCAAGAGCGACGGCGATGGCGCCGTCTCCGTCTCCCACGCCCTCTGGCAGACACACTCCGG